TGCTAGTCTACTTCGTCTGAGGCATCTTTGATTTCATCGCAAAAATGTTATGATAATGGCTGTCCTGCACAAAAGCTTCCACTTGGCATAATGAGTATCTTATTGGTTCAGGTCTATATAATTGGTGGCGATGGGACTCAAAAAGGAGCAGCTGTCATTTATGAGGTATGTTAGATTCTGAAAATTAGCAGGCCAAGTAATTACCCACCCAAAAACATGAGTCAATTTTCAGCTTGAGGGAAATATAGTTACATTATTTGCCGAAAGCTTACAAATAACAATCTATTCTTTCAAATTAGTCTATTGACGGGATTCTGTATCACACTACAACTGTCGAATCAAATATCTTGTTCCATATGTACCATGTCAACATTATATGCATTCAGCTTCATCATCTGCACAGAGATTCAACACATCTGAATATACCTTACTTCTAGTTCTGGCTAGCTTTTCTCAGTATGTCTTAGTAGTTTCCATGGATTTGCTAGACTCTTACATGGAAACTTTCGAATATGCTAGATGCATATTTAGTCTCAGTGCAATGTAAACGTAACCAGCTACTGTCATATGCATTACTTGGTATCTGATTTCGAGTCCTGATTGTCCTTGGTGGTATCAATTCTTTGCTTGGTAAAAGAGAATTTATGTTCATCTTTGCAAGCATTCTTAGAAGTTAGAACAATCCTACTCCCTTTTTGCAGGAAATTAGGCGGCGTGGTCTCAAAGTTGTTGTTGCTGGGATACCAAAGACAATTGACAATGATATTCCAGTATTTCTCATTTCCTCTTACTATAATTGATTATATTTTGTTTTGGTATGATAAACAATTTAGCAACCTAAAGAAGTAATTCCAAAGTTTCTTGCATAGTGCAAAGCATAAATTTTACTGAATAGTAAAAGTACAGTGTAATTACTGGAGATCTCATTTTGGTAGTTTGCCTTCCCTTTTGACTTAAGTAACTAGTAGCTAATAGTGCTTGTCAGTTTGGACTACTCTTACGTGAAAACAAGTTTGTTCTGTTATCAGGTCATCGACAAGTCATTTGGCTTTGATACTGCCGTAGAGGAGGCTCAACGTGCCATCAATGCAGCGCATGTTGAAGCTCAAAGTGCTGAGAACGGTATCGGTGTGGTGAAGCTAATGGGCCGCTATAGTGGTAGCATGCTTTTACAAGTCTTGAAAAACTTTCAATGCGTAGAAAATTGCGCAGTATAGAATTTTTTTTACCAAGTTCAAAAAAAGACTTTTTTATGCCCATTTCCACTACAAATCTTATCGGGCTTCATTGTTGGTTCATTTTGCTGTTAAATAATCAGCTCTTCTCTGCATAGTTAGCTGCAAAACTCATCATTAGATAGGCTATAGCTGTTATCGATAAAAAATAACTAAAGTGAGCTTCTATATGCTCACTGTTTGCTTGGAAAGCATAAATAAAGGTATACACATCTTTGAGACAACAAATTGCTTCTTTCTTTTCAAGTCATATTCTCAATGCTTAACTGCCCAAACCTCTCCATGCTTCCGTAGTCTATATATTATTGTACTTTTTAACAAACAACAAAAGTCTTGATTTTAGTTCAATTTGCTGGAAAATTGGTGCAGGATTCATTGCAATGTATGCCACTTTGGCGAGCAGAGATGTTGACTGCTGTTTGATTCCAGAGTCACCCTTCTATCTTGAAGGAAGTGGTGGTCTCTTCGAATTCGTTAAGAAAAGTCTCAGAGAAGATGGGCACATGGTTATTGTGATAGCTGAAGGAGCTGGACAGGAACTTCTTGCAGAAGAAAATTCCCATGCTAGAAGTGAACAAGATGCTTCAGGAAACAAGCTTCTCCAAGATGTTGGTTTGTGGGTATCCCAGAAAATCAGGGTAATGGTTGTTATAGACAGAGTTGTCCCTAATGTTATAGTTATACATAATGCAGAACTGAAAGATCTTGCTTTCTCTTCCTCTCTGTAAGCGATTAAGTGTGCTCGTCTCTACTTGAGTATGCACATTTTTGGGTTTGTGAGAGAGCTAATATCATCTGTGTTAGCAAATTACATCTGCTCCAGTCGACGAAGATGTACTAAAGTTCATACTATACATGTTTTCCAGAAAATAAGGTGCATATCTTCCTAAAAAGGATAAGGAAACGAGGAAGAATTTGTTTGACAGAATTATTCACTGAATGATTACCAGATATTCTCAAATGCTCATGTGCCTCTAATAAGAACTTGTACTTTTAACTACTCTCACAAAATAAATTCATGTAACCACCAGGTAGTGGTTTGCATCTTATAAAGCAAACACCATATAGAACAACATAAGAAATAATAGGTGAGGCATTATAATTCTATATTATACGGTCATTCTCAAAAAAAAAAAATTCTATATCATCCATTTCGTTATTTTTATTTTGACTGCATTGTTGTCTATCTATCGCTTTTGAGGAATGGTATGTTGTTATATATTTTGTACAGAGGCTGGTCTCCTATATCTGCCTTTAAACACTGACTATCTAACAGTCATGAAATTTGTTGAACTTCTTGCTGAAAGAACTCCTGCAGCAATGCGCATGAGTTTTAGATTGCCACTTATCCTTTGTTAAGATTGCTATGATCCAACAACATGGAAAATGGTTCTTGGTCCTACTTTTCTTTTCGTATTTTCTCGCAGTCTATGGAAATCGTGACTGAGATTATTTATATTAGGAAGTATTATGTATTAGCATTCTACTCACCATTTTTTTACCTCTTGCAGGATCATTTTGAAAAAAAACTTAAGATGCCCATTACTCTTAAATATATAGGTGGGAAAATTTCAACCATCCGAATAGCTAATGTAGTTTAAAAACTTATGATGCTAACCAGCAATTCACATTGTTATGCAGACCCAACTTACATGATTCGTGCTGTTCCGAGTAATGCATCTGACAATGTATATTGCACGATTCTTGCTCAAAGTTGTGTTCATGGAGCTATGGCAGGGTATACAGGCTTTACCTCGGGGGTTGTCAATGGTCGTCAAACATATATTCCATTCAATGTAAGTATCTACATTCGGTTGTTGATCTTTCTAGTTTTATCTCCGGCTTCCTGATTAACCCCAAGGTATCGACAATGTCCATCCCTGTGGAAATTGGAATCTGATTGGGACTTGGCTGTGAGTTATCATACACTAGGCATAAATCTTAGTTCCTAGCTGCTTTAAGTTGAATAGCTCCCGGTTCAATAACTGCTTTTAGGGTTTAGGTTTAGCTTGAGGATGCAACTCATGTTCTTAAAAGTTTGATTTCCTTCCTATAATCACTTTTCCAATGCTAGCGTCATCCATTTGGCATCTATAATCCAGTTTCGTTTTTCTTGAATTTCCATAACGTCGGGGAGATTTTTTGCTGCCTTTCAATGAGTATGTTAAACAATCTCCAGAAAGTATGCTGTACTGTTTAGTAAGACGCACTTGCACCTTAGGAAAGACATGGTGTTTGTTTTCTCCAAGATTGTAATCAGCAACCCATTGTTCTGTATTCATGATTCTGGTGCACTGACCTCTCCCATATGACATAAAGCATCTCGGATCTAATTTCGTGGCATGTTTGATATCAGCAACAGCTATGTGCATGTTATGTAAAAGCTGATTTCTTTCACTTCAAATCCCATAACATTGCTGTTTTAGCAATATTATGCTCTATTTGGATCATTTTCACCAGTGTGACTTAGTGGCAGAAAGGGGAATCGAAAGCCATTCAATCTATTATGTAGTGGGCCTTACATTATAAAAAAATTATGTCTTGAGCACTCGTTTTATTTTGATTCGGCTTTCAAAGCCATTTCGCTCCTATTACTATGGACACGCCATTTTCACAAGTTTAACCAGCATCTTCGCTGTGCAGCGCATTACTGAGAAGCAAAATAAGGTGGTCATAACTGACAGGATGTGGGCACGGCTTCTTTCGTCTACCAATCAGCCAAGCTTCTTGAGCACAAAAGACATTGTTGAAGTGCAAAAGGGGCAGCACCCACCAACTCAGTTATTAGATGGGGATAACAATGACAGCGAGACTTCAGGTAAACAAAACACTAGCATGGCATGAAATAAAAGCACCCTATAACACTAGGGCAGTAACTTTTCTCACCAGTAGTCACTCAAGTTGCTATTTCTACTACCTTTGAATCTGCAAATGCCTACCATAATGTCAGATAAATCGGGTCGTTGTAGGAACTTATTTGAAGGTTTTGGATCTGTTACCGTGCCTCAGCTGTGGGCAGTAACAGATGTATATTGAAGGTTTTGTTGTATCTAGTGAAGTTAAGTTGCGCCGCAGCTTCCTTGTATTCATGATTATGAATCATATTTATTTGTATGTTGCGGAGATGTTGCTTCCCAATTTGTTTGGTTATTTCTTCCCTGCATTTTACACTTGGAAAATGCTATGTAAATGCTGCTGTGGATGTCTCAAAATTTCTGTACCTAAACAAATATCAACTACTGATTCAAGAATTTCAAAGTTGCAGCTAGCCAGGATATTACTACTATGCTCCATTGTTCTTGAGTTGACCTAAATTTATTCATGCTGAGAAATTGCTGGGTGATGGAGTCTTTGAACTGTTTGAACGTTTAAATGCTCCGACGAGGAAAGGTCTAAAACCATATGACAGACCAAATTCTTTTCAACGTATTCCATTGCAAAATCCAAACTTCTCACTGTTTGCTGTGCTCATAATCTGTCATAAGACTTTTGGAATCTGAAGTGTCAAAAGACTAGTTTGAATCCAAGAAGAGGCAACACAATTGAATTATCTTACTAGATTGTACATCTAAGCTAGACTTTGATTGCATTTTAATTTAAATAAACTTTGATTAGGGAAAAACTATCTATTCATTTATGCAAATGATAAAGTAATTCTGAAATGAAAAGAGCACTTGTTATATGGAGCGCTTCACTCCATATAGCTTTGTGAGGCAAAGTTAAAAAGGAAGTAAAATTACCGCTGCATTCTAATTGGATTGGTGCTTCAGTTAATAGGAGTAGGTTAGAGTTCAAACGGGAGTCAAGAGAATGTTGTCTAGCCACAAGCAAGATCAGAGTGCAGGACAAGATCCCAAAGAGATTACGATTACATACAACATTGAGAAAAGAGCAAAAAATGACTACATATTTTGTAAACATTTTCAGGCAATGCAAGGGATCACAGTTTTACATGGTGGGTGTGGTTATTTTACGTCACAGTTTTAAGATCACATAGATTTAGGATTAACGCTGAGCAAAGGCTTCTTCAGTGAAAAACAAAAACAATTAAGTCCGCCACAAAGATTGTGAGAGTCATTGGTGATGTCTTCATCAGCCCTTGTAAACACCTGAAGGATCTGCATTCTGCACAATCCAAGGATGCTCCAGGACCTTTTTCAGGGGCAGACGCTGAGAAGAATCCTTTACAAGCATCTATATCCCACAAACATAATAAATTATAAAGAACAAGTCAGCCCCGAGATTACTTGCTGCAGTATTTCAAAGCATCTCAAATGGATTAGAGAAAAACCTGACTAATGAGGTCCTTGGCAGCTGATGAGACAATCGGTTTGGCTGGAAATTTGAGATCCACTTGCACAATCCTGTGCACATCAATATACTACCAGTGTTAAGCTGGTAATATTCATAAAAGTTGTTTTGCCATTTCAAACTCTCCATACCAAGATTTAGCTAATGGCGGAAGTTTGAAAATTGTACTGCTTGTGTTCATTGTATGTGTAATAATTTCTTCTGCCATTTCATTCTCATCCATGCACAATTTGAAAATTGTACCATGAACATTAGTTGTAGCATTTTATGAAAGAATTCACTATTTTTCTAAAAGGAGGACTTGTGTATAAATTGTACTATTTTTTCTAAAGTCTTCTTCCTTTTTTGTGCTTTCCTATTTAAGTTTCTCATGAAACTTTTAGTTTACGTTTGGGAGAAAAGCCCACCTTCTATATGTGTCTGAGTGTTCCTTTGCTTCAAATGGAGGCATCCCATACAGAAACTCAAAGCAGAGGATACCCAGACTCCAAATATCCACACTTGCGTCATGCTCCACACTTTCCACTGCAAGTTCAGCGACCAACGTATCATAAAACATGTAAAAGCAGTCAAAAGATTTGCTAAGCTATATTCTCATACATGCCATGAAACAGAAACTTAAAATAGAAGAAGTTTTTTTTTTTGAACAAAGAAGAAGAAAAAAAGATACTAATAAAACTTCCAACATATCTCGTATAACATGAACCATGCTTTTGTAACTTCTTCCACATGACACATAGTCTAGGGTGCCACACATAGTCCGCTTTCGATTAACACAATGTTATCCTCATATAACACATACCCATCTCTGGTGGCAAATAGTCTAGAGTGCCACACATAGTCCGCCTCCGATTAAAGGTGTGCACTGACCACCCAAAGTCTGCAATTTTGAGTTCACCCTAAAAGCAGAAATATTTAAAAAACTATTTCAAGCTCCGTCATTTTATAACTGCAATGCACACTATAAATTGTTATTGCTAAATATATACCTGTGCACCAACCAAAAGATTCTCCGGCTTGATATCTCTGTGTATTACGTGCTTCCCATGACAGTATATTAGGGCTCGGGCTAACGATGCAACATACTGCTCCAAGACCCAAGAAAAAGAAAAATAAGAAAATTTATGGTCAGTTGGTCAGTTCAAAAGTAGTTAGGATGGTGAGGGCATGAATATAATTAAATGCTGGAGATAAATAAATCTGCTCACACTCAAGGCTATTTAGAATGAGACCAAAACTGAAAACTTTGAAAGAAAACTTCACATCTGCTCATTTACCAATTTCTCATGATTCTCAAATTAATGATTTTGAAAAAAGGAAATCCTACAAGTCCAATTAATAAATGTATAAGCAGTTCTGTAAATCAACAAGAACTAACAGTTGCAGCACGCCGTTCACTAAAATATTTGCATTTCTGCAGCTCCTTGTAGAGTTCACCCTTGGCAGCATATTCCAGGATCAAATACACACGTTTCTGCAGTAGTAAGCACTATCATCAGTCTCCTGGAAGTTAATCTTAAGAACAAAAAATGAGAACAAGCAATGCAGAAGAGGTTACAGAAGGAACCTTAATTTACCTGGTCGTAAAAGTAACCATAAAGCCTCAAAATATTTGGATGACGAAGGTGGCTTTGTATCTCAACTTCACGACGAAGCTGATGTTCAACCTGGGACTGTTTTAGCTGGCTCTTGAACAGCACTTTTAATGCGACAATGTGATTGCTCTGTTTTCACGAAATAACTAACCTTAAGTATTGGAAATGTGATTGCAGAATGTAACGTCTGTCTAATAGAGTTCGAAAAATCATTTATCTCATGTCCATAAGATATCATCCCCGACCTCTCACCCATTAACTATCACTATTAAATGATAGCATTAGATGCTACAGAAATTTACTGATATAGAACCCCCAAATAAACAGGCACTGTTATAGCAGGCAAAACTAATATATTGAAGGAGCCAACTAGCAAAGCATAAATCTGAAGCAATTGATAGTAAAAACATTGTATCTTTCTTAAAGCACTGACCCTTTTTTCCCTAGCTAGATATACATGACCAAATTTTCCTCTTCCAAGAGGCTTCCCAATGTCAAAATCATTAAGCATCCACCTCTTTTTATCTGCCTCTGATGATGCCTCTGGTGACGCCTGCAGAAGTTGAAAATTCTGTAGTCCATAAAAAGAGCAGTTTACTAAGAATAAAAAAAATGCGGTTATAACCATTAATTTCTGTTGAGTTAAATCTGCACAAAAACTCAGAAACATTATAAATCCAGGACCAGGTCATAAGTCCAAAATCTTAACTTCTTTTTATGGTTTGGAGCTGTGTGAAGATTCACCCCCAAAATTCTTATATATAAACGAAAATTTCAAATCCTAGAAGCAGTTTAATAATACCGTTTCACAATTACCACCACCAAGGCATACAATATTTCTCATATCATCTAAAAGGAAACCCTAATTATATCAGAGCCGAAGCTGGGAATTTCTATAAATCTTCCCCAATTATTAAGAAGAAAAAATGTAAGCACAAATCAAGCTATTGTCCAATGTAAAACCTTAGATAACTCAAATACATTTCAAAATTCAAGTCCTAAATTCGAAATGAACGAGGACAATAATCACATCAAATAAATTACATAAAAAAATCAAAGGAAAAAAATTATGAATAAATTTTCTTTTTGTATTTTGTTCTGAGTTGTTAATTACCTTGTGTTGTTGCTGTGGTTGATTCTCCGTTGCGATCCCCATTTCTGTATACCCTAGAGAAAAAGAGAGAAAAAAAATTGAAGAAGAAGAAGAGAGTGGACGGCTGAACGGTAAATGAATGAATGGTGACTTCTTTTGAGTTTTTAGATTTGAATATAGAGAAGGGGCCGAGGGAACAGATTTCTCTTTATTCTTTTACAACGGTCATATTTTTGGAAACCTGCCACGTGGCCCAATAGCGTTTCTACCCTCAATTCAAATTTTCGGTTTTCTTCAATAAATTCCTCTTGTCAAGGAGCGTCCTTGAACATGTCCTGGGACCCATATTGGGGCAGATCTATAGAATCTACATATAAATTAAAAAAATATTTCTAGATATTTGATTATGAACTCAATTATTATTTGTATATATTAACTTTTGGTTGTTGTATGAACTCATAAATTTCATATTGTGGATCCACCTCCAAGACCCATATGAACTTTTGGTTGCTGTGTTCTTCTTCGATTTTCAACTGAAAATTTCGATCTCAATCACCTCAAATCAGCTCCAAATGCTATCAAATTTCAGTATGAACTTCCAGAAGGTACTATAAGCAATATTTAACAACACCCACTTTGAATCAAACAAGAAATCTTTAAAATAATTAGATCTAATTTCTTTTTGAAGAAGGATATAAGGGAAATGGAAGAGTTTGTCCAAGTCTTCTTCACGGAGGCGAACTTTATCCAAGTCATTGACATTTGGGTGTGTCAAAAGGAAGAGTTTGTGTGCAAGAACTAGCTCGGGTTGTTGTGTTCCTTCTTCCGCATCCATGGCTACCTTTCTTTGCTATTTCTTGGTTTTTTTTGTTTCACTGTAATTTCAAATGCCTCTGTGAAGAAGAAGAAAACGAGAAAAGGAAAAAACCGGTACTTTCAGATGCCTCTGTGAAGAAGAAGAAAACGAGAAAAGGAAAAAATCGGGTACTTTTAGATGCCTCTGTGAAGAAGAAGAAGAAAACGAGAAAAGGAAAAAACCGGGTAAATAGTTTGATTCCTATGGGTAGGAGTAGTAAATAGTTTAGGCATAAGCATTAAAGGGTAAATAGTTTAGAATTAATGGGTATAAAGTGAGATTTTCTCTTAAATAAAAGCCTTATTTTTCTTTTATATTCGTTGAATTGAGAAGTATGAACTGATTAATCAACTCTCAGACATAAATTATGACAGGTTATATGAAGCTTTATATATTTATTCCATGCTATTTACGTTATATTTCATTCCATATAATGAATAAGCTTATTTGTTATGACACATTAAAAGTTCTTTGAAATTAGGAACTTTTACTTATTTCTAAACGGACATACAGGTCTTTCAGCAGAATTAAAGAAATTAAAGACTCCTGATTAAAATTAAACTTAATATAATTGTAACAACAATAACTAAGCGTCAGTTTTAATTGGTTGATATATATATATATTGAAACTGACTTCATTTGATATTGCTAATGTTCTTATCTATAGTATTTTCAACATGACTCTTTCATTACTGTTCTCTTGTTCAAACCCAGTGAGAATTATTTTTCTTGAGCCGAGGATCTTTCGAAAACAACCTTTCTACCTCCACAAAATAGAGGTAAAATCTTCTCTCCTCAGACCCCACGCTGTAGAAATACACTGGATATGTTATTATTGTATAGTTTTTTTTTTGTTGTCAAACTAATTTTTTTGTAGTTGTAGACATATAAATTTTATTGGAATTAAATCTGTAAAATAATTGGGACTATATTTTAAAATTCAAGATATATTAGTTCAAATAAATTTATTGGACTAATATAGTTGGATTAATTATAAGCCCAATATAAATGGATTAAATAAATAAATTTTAATCCATTGGGCTAGCCTATTTAATTGGGCTAAAGTGATGAGCCCGCTTCATTAAGCCCAAGATGACATCTTCATAGAGGCCCAGTTTGGTGCCACGTGTCAAATGACGTGGCGCGCCAAGTCAAGCGGAAGAGCCAATAGGACCATGCCACGTGTCAAAATGACAAGGCATGCACAGTCACACTAAAAGGCCAATGAAATCGCGCCACGTGTGCAAGTGACATGTTCTGGCCAATCAAATGCGGCCATGTCACACTTCAATTTGATTGGTCGGAAAGAGTTTGTTCTTATCACAACTCCTCCCTCCCACAACTATAAATAGGGGTCTTCATAACTCAGAAAAGACATCAGAAGTTATAAAAGAAGCAAGAAAGAGCTCGTGGATCAAACACTACAAATTCCTCCACAAGTTTCAAACTTCAAGCAATCATGTTCAAGCTCAAGAACGAAGACCAAATCAAGTTCAAGTCCAAGCAATCAAGCTCAAGCTCAAGAACAAGATCATCGTTCGTGGCAACAAACATAGATTCAAGATCAAGCTTAAAGGCCCTTGAATTTATTTACCATTGAAAAGAAGAATCAGAGGATTCATAGAGATTGTACACTCATATTATTTGAAATAAAATACTACGATTGTTGCTTTCGGTCTTGATTTTATTTTCTCGACACAAATTTATTGTCTACAAATTCTGGCACGCCCAGTGGGACAATCTCTACCTCTCATCTCAACTTTTCAATCACCAAAGCCCAAGAACATTGAAATGGCTTCAAAGAAAATCAACTCCAGTTCAACTTCCACCAAGGCTGCTAACTCCAGGTTCTACGCTGATGTGGAAATCATCCTCGATGTTACCTTTGGAAGCTTCGGACTAGTTACGAGGAGCAAAGCAAGCTCTTTAGGACAACAAGCACTTTAAGTGCCGTCCGCATCAACCCTTGTTTTCAGATCTTCATCCTCAAAAGGAGCAAGATCTTCCACAAACGCACCCGAAGGAGGAAGCGATGTTGCTGAAAAGTTCAAGAAAACTCTTGCTCTGCTTGACCTCTCCGGATCCAAGCACTCTGCTCTGAAGGAAGATGATGATGCTTCAAGTGATGGATCCTCCCCAATTACACCACATAGCGTGAGCCAATCAAGGATCAATCTGTGTGAAAATCCATGCTACCCTCCGTCGTCCACGACAATCATGCAAACCATGGTGACAAACACTTCATCTACGGAGGAGCAGTTGGCAAACTTGATGGAAGCAATCGCTGGCTTGACCAAATGCATGCAAAATCAGAGGCTAGAATTGACAAGCTAACAGACAGGGTGGGAATCTTGATGGAAGAAGAATACACCCATGCACCCGGCAAGCTCCCAGAAGTTCTAGAGAGTGACTCTCCCCCAAGACAAGCAGCATCCACTAAGGCTATCCCCGTCTCATCTGAAGGGATGATTCCAATCGATCGACTGAAGGAGTTCATCGAAGGAACCATTAAGAACAAATACGAAGTTGCTGCCAAATCCTCCCTTACATATGCAAAGCCGTACACGACAAGGGTCGATATGTTGAAGATGCCTGCTGGCTATCAACCTCCAAAGTTTCAACAGTTTGATGGCAAAGGTAACCCAAAGCAACATGTTGCGCACTTCGTGGAGACGTGCAACAATGCTGGGACTTATGGAGATTACCTTATCAAGCAGTTTGTCCGCTCGCTAAAAGGAAATGCTTTTGACTGGTATACAGACCTCGAGGCTGGATCTATCGATAGCTGGGATCAACTAGAGCAAGAGTTCCTCAATCGCTTTTATAGTACGAGATGTACTGTGAGTATGATAGAACTTACAAATACTCGTCAATGAAAGGGGGAACTAGTTATCGACTTTATCAATCGTTGGAGGAATGCAAGCCTCAACTGCAAAGACAGGCTTAGTGAAGCTTCAGGCATAGAGATGTGCATCCAAGGCATGCATTGGGGATTGCGCTACATCTTGTAAGGTATCAAGCCTAGCATATTTGAAGAGCTTGCAACTCGTGCCCATGACATGGAATTGAGCATGGCCTCCGCTGGAAATGAAAGGCTGCCCATCTATGAACCTCGCAAAGTGAATGACAAGCAAGAAGTCAGGAAGTGGGGCAAGTTCGTACCCAGGTCTGAAAGTAAAGAAGTTATGAATGTCAACACGTCACCTATGAAGTTCACGACGAAGGTGAGCAAGAAGCAGAGTATGAAATCCACTTCTTTTCACGATAAGCCAAGTGGAAAGTTGACTCTAAAAGAAATGCAAGAGAAAGAGTACCCATTTCTGGATTCTGATGTGCCAGCCATTTTCGAAGAACTCCTCAAGTTAAATCTTATTGAGCTTCCGGAGATGAAGCGACCAAATGAAGCTGGGAAAACAAATGACCCAAATTACTGCAAATATCACCGACTTGTAAGCCACCCTCTGGAGAAGTGCTTTGTCTTCAAGGACAAAGTCATGGACTTGGCTCGCGAAAAGAAGATCGTGCTTAAAGATGAGAAAGCAAGCGCAAACCAAGTCTCTATCACCTTTGGCTCATTCAGTCCGGATGAATTATGTGGTTTTAAAGAAAGCAAAGATGACCTCTTGTTGCCATGCTGACAAAGGGGAAGAAAAGAGTGATGACCTACCGTTGGCACCATCTTCGGAAAAGCCCATCGAGTCCACTCCTCAAGAAGTTAATGCTTGTGAGGAAAAGGTCAAGTTCACAAATGACGATCTTTTGCTAGGTGACACTCCTCATAACCGCCCATTGTACCTGGTTGGCTATATGCGCGATGAAAGGGTAAATCGGATTTTGGTTGATGGAGGATCCTCAGTGAACATTTTGCCTATCCACACTGTGAAAGAACTTGGTATTCCCATGAACGAACTCTCAGAAAGTCGTGTGATGATCCAAGGATTCAACCAAGGGGGGAAAAGAGCCATAGGCGCAATCAGGCTGAGAATCACTATTGAAGATATGCAATCAAGTGCATGGCTGCATGTGATTGATGCGAAGACTTCATACAATGTTTTGCTTGGGAGGCCTTGGATACATGAGAATAAAGTAGTTCCATCTACCTACCATCAATGTTTAAAATACTACGAGGGTGAAGTCGAGAAGACGGTAGTTGCTGATGATGAGCCATTCACCGAGGTTGAGTCACACTTCGCCGATGCAAAGTTCTACTTGAAGAACCGCATTGTGAAGGAGCTGAAAGATGATGATGGCATGAAAAGCAAGAATAAAGAGCCCTGAACTAAAAGAGAAGAGGTGACTACTGGTGAAGCCAAAGCTG